GGGGGGGGGGGGGTTGAATTGAATGATCAATTATTAGACCCGGACTCGCCGACACTTGCTTCGCAAGTCAAACTCAAGGTATCCCCTAAAGGGCTACCTTTCGTGACCTCTTCCTATACAGGCTGACCCCCCCTGGCCTAGAACAACAGTTGCATGTCTTGTCCAAGTCCAAGCTCGGCCCAGTAGCCGCTTTGTCCTTCTTCTTGGCCCAGAAGTTGTTGCTTGTTCCCACCCCACGGTCCAAGACCTCATCATAAAGGTGGCCTGGCGCATGCGGAGCAACAAAAATGGCGAGGGCAAGGCACCTGCCTAGGGCCTAGGGCCTTAGGAACGGAGAACAGGAAGCACTGCAAGATGACAAGCGACTACAAGACACAAGACTATACGCTGCTAATAAGCACTGCATGCTACAGCTTCCCGCTCAAAACCTCTCGGTCCTTTCACGTCGGTGCACCTCCAGAATTCAGAATCTGATCGGCATCTTCTCCCATGAGCTCGCTGAGCATGACCTCCAATTCGTAAGTGACACTCCTTTTTAAATTGGGGGTAGGCCGCTAGTAGCTAGGGAGTCGCTAGTAGAAGAGGTAGCTAGTACCTAACAAGTAGCTTCTACCTACTGGAGGCAGGATAGCTCACGCTATCAATTTGGTTCCTAGATTTTGTTTGGGAAACTTGAAACTTGAAACTTAAGGTTAAACGGGTAAGTGAAGGGAGTGAGATCTGCAATAGAACAAGTGGGTGGGTTAAGAGAAACAGGAACCCTGTGCATACAGGTCCACCTCTGTTGTCAGCTCCCTGCAACCAGTTGCCACTTGAGATGTTCTCATGTCCTAGCCTATACTGCACTTCACATTCATGATGCAACCTGGCAGCCCCATTCGCCCTTGTCTTCTGCTCGGCATAGTGGTTGGACAGAGGTCAAACTGAATGGGTGAAGTGGAGTTTGTTGAGCAACAGATTTGCACAAAACTCAAAGGTGAGAATGTGGCCAGCAAGTGATGCAACTTCGTGGTCGAGCCTCTGGAATGTCTGTCGGAGACAACACAGAGATGCACCTATATATTTAGACGGTGCATGTTCACTGTCTAAATGGTCCGCACTGTTCAAGTGGTCAAAATAAATAGACTGTTTCAGACTGTTCTCCTCCAACTCCTTCTAGTTTCTTTAGTCTGCTGGCCGTAGTGCTTGGAAACCTTGTCTTTCTGTTCTCCCTATATAGTCATGTGCGAATGAAGCATCGATTGTCCTGAAGACTAGATTAAACTCCCAGTATAGGGACGCTGTACCCTTTGAGGTGGCAAAGGCAATGGAACCCTGAAGCATTTTTAGTAGATCACCCAGGAAAGCTCTTTAAGTACCAATCATCGCTCTCCAATCATCGCTCTCCTTCTGCAATGTCATCAATCTGACTCCACCTTTTTCTATGACAATGTGACCAAGCTGCATATCCAGCAGGCTCGATGTGCCAAGTGCAATCAGGTGTCCCGTCAGGCTCTGGGCAAGAGCCTGTGCCAACAGAAACGTTTACATTCGAGCTGATTCCTGCATGTCCTTGGGACTTGGACAAGGTGCACCTTGCCATAGTGCCATAGGTCAACTCTAGGTTGCTTTTCTATAGAGGAACTCCAACCTTCTGCACTTTGTCTGGTTGATCTTCAAGAGTATTGCCAAGTGCCATGACAGCGCTGGTTGACTCTGAGTAAAGCTACTCTTGTGCTGCTCCTGTGGGTGCTCCTCTCTGCGGTTTCTTGCTGACTTGGTATGTCAAGGCATAGAACCATCTCCCTTGTTGGCACCTACCACGCCTACGTCACGCCCAACATCAAAGGAGCACCATCCGTCACGCCTCCTGCCCAATCTCTCATGCAAGTGCTTGTCTTCTTCTGACCACCCTGGGGAGAATCGTCCTTGGTCAGCTCAGACTGACAAGCACAGTGTCAATTTAATGGTTGAAACAAGTTGAAACATCATTGTAGAGTTTCTTTGTCTGAATTGAACATGAGATTGCACCTGCAAAGCATCAACGCATGCAAGCGCTGTTCACACTGGCTGATGTTCAAAAGGAAACGTAGAGGCCTTCGGGGAAACTCTGTGCAGCCAAGAGCAGCTACACAACTAACAGGAGTTCTGATGCCAAATCGTGCCAAATCTCTGTGAAGGGCATGGAGGGGCAGCGTCCCGGGAAGGAGCTCCAAAACCCGCCTGGAGACAAAGAATCCCACATCTTCCAATTGACCAGCGTGCGTCTTTGACTCTTCCTTCTCCGTCTATTCACTGCTGTCAAACCTACCTAAACAAACCAACAGGAAGAGAATAATTCGTCCATAATGTGTTCTCTTCCTTGTGGATTCCTTGTGGATGCTGGGCGAAGATGACATGGAGCGAACAATGTTACGTCTCCTTGCAGTTGTAGGGAGAGCGATTCCCTGGACCATTTGGGAACCTAAGGACGCTACTAGGGGCTCCTGGCCTTACTACTAGAAGCAAAGACGCTACTAGTGGCTCCTGGCCTTACTACTAGGAACAAGAAGCTACTAGGGCCCTAGGGGCTCCTGGCATCGCTACCAGGAGCAAGGACGCTACTAGTAGCTCCTGGCCATACTACTAGTATTCAGCACCATTAATTTGATGTTCTGCTTAGTGGCTGTCTATTGGTCAATTTATGTGGTGACTGTTGTGGGTGAGATATGTATCTCAATCTTGTCTCAATATTCACCCCAGTTGAATATCCACGTGATAGCAGTAAGAAGTGCCAGCCAAGACCGGTCCTTCAAGCCCTCAGAACAGTGGCGGTTGCTTGGCAAAAGTGGAGGCTGTGCGGCGCTGTGCGGGGAGATTGCAAAGCCATGCAAGCGTCCTTGTTACTAGTAGCGTCCTTGTTGTAGCGTCCTTGCTCCTAGTAGCGATGCCCTTTGTTACTAGTAGCTTCTTGTTACTAATTCTTGTAGATATCTTCTTTTTGGCTCCAGGTTGGAAAGCCGAGAAGGCGGATGTTTTGTGTTGCAGGAAAGGGCATAGCGGCATATCATTCCAGTTGCTTGGAGGTGTGCGCATGAGAGGCTCATGAGGCTTCAGTTCAACTCATGCCACCGCCCCCGAGCTTTCCATCAGCCTATACACTCGACCCTCGCCCTTTCACGACCCACCCGCACGCCTTCATATCCAGAGACTCCCGTTGGAACTACTTGGCATCCAACTTCAAAACCAAACTTTGTCCAAATATCATTGCATTTCCTCGATTTAAAACTCAAAACAAACCATCAGTCTGTCTGCACTACATGTCCTTCTTCATTGGTGCGCAGTTAATGAAGTTGTTTGATCTTCCCAAGATTACTAGTCAAAGGCTCAAGGCCAAGACGAGTCCGGTGACTAGATCAGAAGGGCAACTCTGCCAACCACTGTATCAAATGTTCTTTCAACCTGATGACTAGCTGGCATCACCTGGAGAGTTCTGGCGCCTACAACGAACATGTTCCTAAAGAATATTGTGTAGCTGTATCACTGTATTTGACTGTATCTATATATATATGTTACCGTGTGTAGTGTGTATATATATATTGTATTTATATTTACATATCATTAACATTCTGAAATGTGTATATTCAGTGGTGAGTGGTGAGGATTGTGAACACCCCGAGACCAAGCTGCTTCACATGGTCAGGCATACCAAAAGTGGCTTGCCCATAGTCGAACTGAATGAATTGTCCAAACCTGGCAGAGTGACCATTCCGTTCGGAGTAATTAAGACGCAATACTAGGCTCAACCACCTGGATGACATAGTATTCAATTCAATCTGTGTCATAGTATTCATAGTATTGAATAGCATCAGAAGTGCTACACACACAATCCTCAGAAATATTGGCTCCAAGGCGCTGTGAACGGAATTGTTTCCAAAGAGCCTCTGTGTTGTGCCTTAACTGTGACTGTGCTGGTTGCTCTTGGGTAGGCTGACATAGTAACAGAACTGACACGACGTTGCCCAGTGTTGTTTTCTTCCGATTGGTTCCAAGTGATCCAATGATATGCCAGTTGCCCAGCACTCAACCAACCAGGAACGGCCGCTGCAAAAAGGATCTGCGTGTAAGCGCGACCACAAACGAGTTTCACTTATCGGCGGATCGATATTGATTCTGCAAAGGCACACAGTCACTTTGAAACGCACAATACGATCAATGTCGAACTTTGTCGATCTCCTCAGAGAAACAAATGCAAATGACTCAAACATCAACCCAGCATAAAAACAAAAATGACACGCGCATAGTATGCTTTAGACTCCTGTCAAGCCTTTGCGCAAATCCCAATCCAGCAGGACACTAGAAAAGCAAAAACACAAGAGCTCGCGCTCTGCAGAGACTGGCAAGCAGCTTTCCATCTTTGGACAGCTGCTCACCCTTGCTGTCCACCACTTCATTGTGAAGATAAAACCTTGGCTGGGCTTGCAGAACAAATCCTCAAGAAACAAAACGACAGCAGAAAGACAAAAAGACCATATAACTATATGAGTGAAATGCAATGATTCAATTCTGATCTGTGTATTGTCAGGTCTTGAGTCTTGAGGTATCTTGAGGCTAGGTCATTTGCACTTTGTCAGGTGTGTGGCATGGCGATCAAAAGCAAAAAAAAAGTGGCAAAGGCATGATGACAAACGCCTCGTCATTGACGTGTGGTGCTGTCATACACCATATGATGCAATGTCAACGTTGTGTGGCGCGCTGTGGTGAACATAAGCTGTGGTGAAAATAGATATAGCTTATACAAACCATCCGTTGGACAACATTTTATTATTGGGTGAAGCTTTTCCTTTACTATTTGGTCCAGCAGTAAACCTTCTAGTCCCAGATGAAATAAATATGTTATGTAATACTGCCTTTTGCTTTTATTGAATCTATGTCTTGGAGGATATGGTGTTGATTGAACTTGAATTACATCTATGGGGCACCGAACTTGAGGATTGAAGGAGAAACTCAACTTGAACCCATAAAGCCTAACTACCAGTGGATAAACTCAATCGCTTTTTAGGTTGCGTTCAAAGTCATTTTTGCGGGCTAAGGCCAGGAGCCCCTAGTAGCGTCCTTGCTCCTACTAGCGATGCCCTTTGCTCCTAGTAGCTTCTTGCTCCTAGTAGTCAGGCCAGGAGCCCCTAGTAGCGTCCTTGCTCCTAGTAGCGATGCCCTTTGCTCCTAGTAGCTTCTTGCTCCTAGTAGTAAGGCCAGGAGCCCCTAGTAGCATTCTTGTTCCTAGCAGCAGTACTCCACCGAGACTTGCCATGTCCACATTCTCCCAAACGCGGTCAGGGTCGTACTGACAAGAGTCAGTAGCCAATGGCATGCGTTGCAAGTGTGTGGCAACTTGGTAGCTGCGATAAAAGCTGTCACATGTCACAATCCAATCTACCAGTTTGAAGAGAAGCAGGAAACACGGTTGACACCCGTTGTCCCATTCGGCACGGCTGTCCCATCTCCTTCTTCTGCGCGCTGTATTGATAGAAGGTCATGCTCGCAGGGCCGTCAGCTTTGACACACTCAGCACCCTGCGCAGCGGAAATCATTGCAAAAGCAGTTGCAGAAGCCTGATAGCACCAAAATGACCGCCACACACTGCTCCATTCCAAAAAGGTGCTTCAAAATGCCAGGAATTCTGCAGAAGTTGATGTATATTTCTCTGCCTTGGGAACTGTGCCCTTGTCACACTGCTTGTACTCCACAGGTCTTCCTGCACGAAGACAGGTAAAATGGTTTAAATGCAACCATGCCATGCATACTTTCACACACCCTTGATCAAAACCGATAGCATGAGCTCACGATACACTTTAGATTCAAAAGCTGCCTTTCAATAGCCAGGTGCACAGGGTGCGGGTAGGTCTGACTTGTGCTTTGTTACAAGGTGCAGCAACGCTCTTGGATGCAATCAACAAACAGGATCAAGCACTCTTATCGTTGGATCACCAGGCCCACATTCTCCGTACCACAGCAAAGAATTCGGCATTTCTCTCCTCCCCATTTACCAACCGTAGCGCTTGCCATGTTCACATACCACGTCTGGCAATATGGGTCGTGCCTCAAGGTTGGTGATGCACACGCGATCAGATTTTGCTGCTTGCAACAAAAAAGAGTTTGTTTCTTTTTGTAGCCGAGGCGCTGCCTCTCTACTTACTGTAATTAATTAGGCGCCTACTAAGTAGTGAGGAGGTAAGCTACCAGTACTAGCTACTTATATGGACGCAGGATTGCTCACGCTTCTTCAAGGAAGCTCCCTCCGCCCCCCGCCCGAGGGCGGGGGGAGCTTCCTTGAAGAGGCGCTCGCACTAATGATTTGGCTCCTAGATTTTTCGCCCGCTGCCTGACTTCGGCTTCCATGAGCTGCTTCCACGAGACTGGCCTCCCACTACGAGTACTATATGCGACCGCCATAACGCCACAACAAGCCCAACCGGTTGGCCCAACCGACCCCAACCATCGCAAGTCGAAGGGCCCATAGGTGCCCCACAAAGCCTGCCCCGGCCCAGAGCGACTCTCGGTCCTCTCCTCTCCCAGACTCCCAGAGTTGGCTTTCGCTGCCCAATGCTTGGATTCCAATGTTTGTTCCAAGCTGCTTCCATTTCTCCGTGCCATCCAAAACTGCAGATTTCAGCTGACACGCACGGGTCTTGGGGCAGGAGACAATGCCTTGGCTGTCGTAAGCTGTCCATAACTGTCAGGTTCAGTGGATACTAGTTAGATGAACCCTTTGGATGGATTGATCCTTTCTACTTCCGCTTCTTTCACCAATGGGTCCAAGATAGATCTGAGGAGCCGACTGTGGCAGCCCTTTGTGCTGGCGCAGAAGTATTCACCTCGACTCAATATGTCAAGCGAAGACTTGAAGACCATTGGACCATATCTGGATGAGAGAAGCACAGAAAATCAAACCGTGCCCGAAGCACATCCTGGTCACAGGCTTTCAAAGAAGCTCGCATGAAGCCCACTGTGTCCTGGGAGCACGGGTCTCTCTATAGAGGTGGGAGACCATGGCAAAGACATTGATTGACATTGAGCAAACTAAGTTGCTGGTTTGGTCCCAGCGCTGGACTGTTTGACTCTTTTCCCTGGAGCGAATCCAGGATCAACAGCAGCCCACCCTGGATGCAGCTAAAAATCTCCACCATCGACAGCCTAAGGTGGGGTGGATGAAGACTTGAATTGTCGTGTCTCCCAACATTTCACTGCACAAAACAAATTGCAGCTCGTTTGGGCTTCAATGCTTTCGTTTTCATTGTCTTTCGCTGGAATATCATGAAAGTCTGGGATGGTAACATGTTAATACCCAGCACGAAACTGAGTGATGCCAGAAGCAACTCCAAAGCTGCGTAGTTTAACCTAATCGCGATGGCCTCCAACTCGAACCTAATAGCGATGCAACTCGCTGACTCAAGAAGCACCTTCACATCTGATCTCTGTCGAGGAACAACCTTGTGCCAGCCGTGGTTGAGTGGGTAGAACCGCCTTGGCTGAGTATGTTGCATTTGAGGACTGCACCACCTAGCTGCAGATTCTCATCTGGGTTGAGATGCCCATTCTGAGCTCTCCCATATCAATGTGCTCTCCAGCTTGTGGTTGATGGATGTTGCAAGGCTATCTTCAGCTGTGCTACGGGATTGCCACCTCTTCGGACGCGTTGGCAAGGTGATCAGTCTCAAGGAATGAGGAAGAAAGCACATCAGGAACCTGCGCAGCAGTGAGTTGGACATACCCAGTCAACTTATGCCGAATCAGTGATCTTATAAAATACCTAAAGCAGCCTAAAGCAATTGATCACCTGCTACATGTAGACATCTACTGTACAAGTATGTCAAATCAAATAAATAGCCTGCTCGGTCGCCCCGTTCTCTCTCTCTCTCACACACGAATCAGGACTGTCACAACTCTAGCTTCGCTGTCGCAGCAATCTTCCTTTTTCTTGCCAGCAAAAGCAAAAGTCTTCCAGATGGCATTATCCAAAGACGTCCTCTTGAAGTCTTCCAGATATTCATGAATTGAGGCAATCGGGCATTCATATTTTTGGCTCTCTTTTGTCCATTCGGAGAGTCTGAGGGCCGTCACTTTTTCCAGCCATGGCGAGCCTGCCAATACGAGGGCGTGTTCAAGGTGGGGACGATGACAGCTGCAGAGACCAAACTCAAGCCGATGAGGCTTGGGAAAAAGCCGCCCCATCCGTAGTTCTGCACCAAAAGAGCAAAGGGCAGGCCTGCACACATGGAACCGAGCTGCGCAGGATATGCCAACAAACCTCCTGCTGTAGCAGCTGCTCTCCGCGGAACAGTTTCCACCCCTGTCATCGTGATGAGAGTTTGTGGCCCATAGATGGCGAAGCCAAAGGCAGCCATAGAGGCCCATTGAAGCAATGCGATTGGAGGACCCACCCACAAGGAAAAGACCGCAGCAGCTGCCGCCAATGAATAGACCACCATGACCTGTGCCCTCAGACCTGCCGCCCCACGCTGAGGGTAGCGACTGATCAGCCAATCTGAAACCTGGCCTGCAACGATGCAGCCAAGCAGGCCTCCAAGCTCAAAGCCGCTGACTCGTGCCGTGGCCTCCATGGCCGGGACACCAAATTCATCCATGATGTAGAAATGGGCCCAGTTCAGCACGCCTTGGCGGATGAAGTAAATGAAGAAATGCATAGCTGCCATACACCAAAGGAACTTGTTCCTGAGCAGTTGCTTCCAAAGTTTCTCATCCTCAGGTGCCTCATCTGCCTCTTTCTCCTCCACTTTCGCCTCGTTTGAGGTTGCAAAGCGTGGAGCTGCCCATTCCTCGGCTGAGGGTAAGCCAAGCTTCTCCGGCGAGTCCTTCATGAAGAGCAGTGCCAAGACACCTGCGACTAACGCAATGACCCCTGGTCCAAACATGCCAGCACGCCAGCTAAAGCGAGCAGCCAGTCCACCTGCCAGTAACGGGATCAAAAATCCGCCCATGTTGTGGGAAGCATTCCATGAACTCCACCACTTTCCTCGACTCCTTGCTGGAAACCAATTCACGAGCATCTTGTTGCATGGGGTCGCACCACACCCCTGAAAGAGGCCATTCAAAAGCCAAATCAACGTAAACATGGGTACAGTGTTCGCAGTGGAGAAAGCGATGTTCAGCACGCCGGTGCACATCAAGCCCAACGAAAAGATCAAGACTGGAGAACCCAACAGGTCTGACAAAATGCCAGAAAGGAACTTCGAGTTCATGTATGCAAGCGGAAACAAAGAGCTGATTGCACCCAGCTGCACCATGCTCAGACCCAAATCGCTCCGCATTGCCAAACCCACATATGTAAATGAGAGCCGGGTGAAGTAGTACACTGCATATCCTGCAACCATACCTGTGAAGGTCACCAAGCGGGTCCGTTGGAATTTATCGGTCGAGCTCGAGCGGCTGGAGCGACTTGGACGCCCAGTCGGTCGAGTGAGGGATCGGGCAAAAATAGTGGCCAGAGCGCCAGCGCCAGCCATGGGAAATCGTGCAAACCTGGCGACATCGCTTTGGCCATTGGCCTTCGGCCTGGCAAGCTTAGCGACGCTGTTTTGCTCTGGCATTCGGACCGGCGACGCCACACCTGCTTGCGATCGAGTGGATCCATCGCGAACAAGCCAAGGCGGCGCAGCCATGCGTTGAAGGGAAGTCATTTTTGCCGAAGCCGAAACTGCAGCAGCAAACTACTATAGTCTCATCGCATGTATATAAATGGATGATATCTCCAAACATGAGACCTTGAGAACTACAAGAAGCTACTAGTAGCTCCTGGCATTACTAGTAGTAACAAGAAGCTACTAGTAACAAGGTGCATCGCTACTAGTAAGGACGCTACTAGCTACAACATTCTGTAAATCAATTCAAATTCCTCCGGGGACCGGCCTTGAAGGCCTCTGTGTCTGCCTCCCTGACCAATTCCTCAGAGACCTTGCACAGTGGTTCTGGCCAGGACATATATATATATATACATAAATAGCATCTCTCCGATCAAAGCTCTGGGATCTACAGTACTTTTATAGTATTTCAGGGTTCTATTTATTCGTTTCTTCTCTCTCTCTATATATATATATATATCTATATGTCGTGATTCAAAATGTCTCCCTCTCCTCCCAGCAGCGGCCTTGCGTCCCCTTACTTGCAGCGCGTTCAAAGTACACCTGGACTGTGAAACTGTCCGGAAACGATCCACAATTAAAAAAAATAGCATGGTTCATGGGACATCGGCAATATATAAGTCCATCACAAAAAAGATCAAACACTGTCAGAGTGCATGATATGTTGGTGAGATTGCAAACAATCCGATGATCCACGAGTCGTCCGTTTGCGCGACCTTGCGTACTTCCTTTGAGCAGCTAAGCAAGTAGCATTTCTCTCAAAGTGTCGGAGATGTTTCGTACAGTGCGTTCTTGCTGCTAGTAGTTTCCTACAATATCTAACAAGGCTATGTACCAAACTCAAGCTACCTCACAACTTGCCCACCCTTAAAGAAGTAGCGGTCATACGTTGCCCCTGATACCAGGGGTATGCTTGGGCAAAATACTCCATGAGCGTTCATTGACTTCATCAAGTGAAAGCGGAGATAACGAAAGTGAACCCTTTTGGTGCCTGGGTTCGGGCTCTTTGAGCCTAGTCATTGAGCAGTTCCAGCTCTTGAACATAGATCCACCGATGAACAAGACTGACACTGTTGTCCCCAAGATCCGAAGGCTTCGAGAGATGAAGCTGAAAAAGATTGAAAAAAAAGTTTGCAAGTCACATCGCTCCAAAGGTTGCCTAACCGAGTCCCTTTACCCTTTTCCTCTCTTGTGCAGTGCATCTTACCCTCTCCCCATCCCTCCCGAACTTCTACATTGAGACATGCTAGCTCGGTGGCATAGATCCATCAGCTTTGCACATGGCATGCAAACAAATCTTGACATACAATACGTGCCAAGAACCCTTTGACATAATATGGACTGCGAGGCCCTGAAATAAGGGAAATAATGTTGCAAACCAGCCCCCCCACCACGATGCCACTCAGAAGACAAATGAAGCAAAACCCACGGCACAGCAAACAAATTTTGAACAAGGCATGAACGCTTCCATCTCCTCAAACGAATCTTTTAGGGGGGGACACACTATGTTTTTTAAAACGCAAACAACGAAGTTCCCTCACATGGTCTCCCTCTCTTTTTTACCAGCACCCCGTTACTTCCTTTCTTATTTCCTTTCTGTGTCTCTCTTGCGCCTCATGATGCAGCAACACCAAGACTGCGTATGACTGCGTTGCCTGCCTGTTGCCTAGAGGTTCCTAGCAATGCTCTCTAGTTCTCCAAGTCACTGTTCATCCTCACACTCATCTGACGAGATCAAGCTCTCTGAAATGGCCTGGGTGCAAATGTGCATCAATCAAAACCCTTGTAATGTCAAACCATTTGTGTCTGGCCAATGACCCAACAAAACAATGAGGTGAGATTTGCTTTAGAAGAGTCAGAATTAATGAACAGTACGACATATATCATTGTCGTTGAGTGCACAATGGCGATTGAGGGTTTGACGACTAGCCTCAAAAAGGAATTGCACAATCAATCAAATAAAACATCAAATAACACCCCAAAAGTCCTCCAAGTTTTGCCAAAATCATTGATAGAAATTACGAGCTGAGCCCTTGGCCGCCTGAAGGGTTCGACACCCAGCCTGTAGCAGGAGACTTGAGGTTCAAACACCCTGTGCCCCTGAAGATTCAGTTGTCCCAACGTCCTTGTCAAAAAACATTATGTCTGATGATGACGCGGAGTCACTCACCAGGTGTTGTTAAGAAACAAAAACATCGCAACCAAATTTGTGAGTCTCTGCTCAATATTGGAAAACATGTGGGCGCTTACACAAACGGAAACAAAAGAAAACAAATAAGGTCCCTTCAATAAGCCTTATACACCTCCTATTTCACTACCCGACAGTATTGGAAGAACTCGATTCTAGATAGACAGCCGACCCTATCGTGACAGTTGCTGTTGCAGTGGGTCACCCAGTGCAATGACCAACCCGACAACAAACAACAAACGATGACAGTGACAACACACACACACAACGACAACACCAAACACATGCACACACAACACGACAAGAAACAAGAAACATCAAAACATGCAACAATGACAACAGGACCTGGCGCATCCAATAAAAATAAGCTAGGCCCGACACAGTGGTCCGCCAGCGTGGCCCGAGCAGAGTTGCTGTCACTGCTAGAGTCGCTGCTGGAACTTTCTCCAGCAGCACTCAATCGTTTCTCTTGAGCGATTTGTGCTTGCCGATGTTTTCGCTGCTTAGCTCGTTGCAACTTCTTTTGGTACCGAGCAATCCTCTTCTCGAAGCTTGTGTATGAATTTTCATGCTCTGGCCAATGTGTTTCCAAAACTGAATGGCGTTCAAGGATTGTCTCTCTGGGACATCTCTTTTCCAGTGTGGCATTGTGAAGAAGCCTCTGAGCCACTCTCTGTTCTCGATCGTGACCTCTGCTGCTGCAGCTGGTCAGCCCAATGAGAAACAAAATAGGACCTATATATATAACAAACAATTTGACACAAACAACACAGAACCACAACAAAAAATAGCACAACACGTGCCACCGGACAGTGGCCCGACAAGGCCCGACCCAGTGCTCCGCCAGTCGCCCCGGCCAGTCCCTGCAGGCAACAAACATTGACACGACATAATGACAACCCTTTGCAGCAACAAACAACACCTAACAATACACAAGGACAAACACGACAACAAAAATTAAACAAACAGCAAACAATGCACACGTGCAATGCTTGACAAAAACACAAGGACCAACATGACAGCAGAATGACTACGCCAAATGCAACCACAACACACCGTGGCCCAGGAGTGCTTCGCCAGTCACCCCAATGCAGCTATATATCCTACGAGTGTAGCTGGGTGCACCTGGGCGGGGGGGGAAAACGAATGCATCTCTTTTTCTTGTTACATGCATGACTTGTCTTAAGATTTGGTCGATTAACAGATAAAGTGATAAAGCAAGAGTGTCTTCAATACTACAGTGGTCGCAGTGTTGGTCCACTGCACATCGTCAAAGCAGCGCGCTCTGTTGGTGCCAAGCTACCAGGATGGCCAAGATCTTGGTCACCCCCTGCAAAAAAAATTGTGTGTGTGTGCGTGCGTGTCGGACTCTCCATCATTGTGCAATTCAATCAGGGCCAGAATGAGTTGCCAGGACAAACGCTTGGAATTGCCAGATTTGTGGATGACTTTCGCTGAGTGAGCATTCGCTTCTTCAGGCAACTAGGCCACGAATTATGAGTTTCAGAGACATACTTGATGAATCCACCCATTCCTCTCTGCAAAGCGCTCGAAGGCATGCCGTGGACCCGTCTTCCCTTGAGGCCCCCAGCCATTTTGGGCATGCTTTCAGGGTAATACATACAAAACCGTGGGTGTTCTGAGCCCAAATCAAGTGAAGCAGCTCAGCTATAGCTCCTTGCAGCTTTCGCACCACATGCAAATTGCACCTAAGAGTGATGGCCTCCACCGTGTTCACGGTTGGCAAGCCTTTAAACATGTCCATGGGTCATCTTTCGAGGTCCAAGCACGACTCGGGGCGACTCGAGGTCCAACGCGACACAAACCAACGCCACTTGTCCATACTTGTCCTGTGCTTTGAGACGCTGCAAAGACCGGTGCACCGAAGAAAACTTGTGCTGGCAAAGTTGTAATGTTGTCCGCAAGGTGTTTGTCATGTGGCAGACTGCAGAGTCACAGCTCAAGCTTGAGAGCGCAAGGTGGTGTGACATCGGGATAGAGCGGGGCCCAAAAGCGTTGGTAAGATGTTGTCGAGAACACATCGACACGAATAGTTTCAACCTTAAGCAACTCAAAATCTTATCAGCCTCAATTATGGATCGGACCATTGACCATTGGTGCTACCGAACGCATGACTGACCCAAGTTTGGCAATGCCGGCCACAAAGTGATATTGTCTGTCCTGACAGCAACTTGGGCCAACTACAAGCGAATGATGTTCTTGTATGTTTTTGTAAGGATGCCCAAAATTGCCCGAATAATTCCTCCCTTCACAGTGGGATGTGCCAAAGGGTTATCAACACCCCTGCTGTGGACCTTCTGAAGCGTCCGTGCAAAGAAAAGCTTCAAGAGATTTTTGTATAGACACTCTGGGTCTGGTTGCATTATCCTGAGGACACTCATGCAGGTTCGCTCCACTTCTGTTTGGAGTCCTGTTATTAACCACTTTCAATCCCAAGCTGAGCCTTTAAATTTGCGACTGCAGCTGCTCAGAGACCAGCTTCGGTGAGACCAAAATGCCTGATCCAGACTAACCTGGGGCACCTGCAGGGCCACTCCAGTTGCAATCAAGGTCTCGAAATACATATTAAGTATATCATAGAACCCATCCTTTGTCACTGAAGACCCTGCTTGATGGTGCTTGATTCATGCCTGATCTGCAGTACGCAAAGCAACATCCAAACATACAATACACAATAAACATGATCATGGCGCATGAAATTAACACCCTTCCTGTGCTTCCTATGTACTTCAGGCAATACGGTAGATGTTGAGGCGCTGAGAAATGCTGGCTCGCCAAGTGTTGCCAGAGAGGACGTCTGAGCTTCCCCAGTGCTGTGACTGAACTTGCCTGCTTTGCCATTTGACATG